CGCAACCAGAGATAATTGACGACAAGGCGATGAATTTTCGGGAGGACGCGACCGAGCATGCATGTCTCCCTCGCCCACGAGGCCACTTTATCGCTTTATTAGCTAGTTGTAGCTGATTAATACATGCGTTGTAATTAATTAGTTCAATTTGTTTTGTAATATTTTAGTTAGCTTAGAATAGTTAGTTGATTTATTTCAATTATGTTGTAATAATTAATTAGCTAGAATAGTTAATTAATTTCATTTTGTAATAAATAGCTTAGCTTAGCATAGCTAGTTAGCTTATTTATTCGGACCCTTCTTCGCGAGGGGGCAATGTTGTAATAAGTGTGTGCGTGTGTGTGCATGTATTCTAACCCCACGTCTTTCTCCCTTTTATTTATTCGTTTTCAGTGGTTAGATTAGGCATGTTTTGATTAGCATACCTTATGCTTGCATGTTTGCATTATTCATTTGTATTGCATGCACCGGGCTCGGCGCATCATTCAAACTACATCGCATTTCAATACCTATTTGAATACGTGTATCAAAGTGTTGCATTCATATGCCATCTTAGATAGCCGAGCCTATTTAGTTGCATTTTTGCATGTGTTGTATTAGGCATTGTTAACATAGTTAGGAGTCATGCATTTTTCTAACTAGCTTTTATTTTGGCTTGGAGTACGTTGTAAGTCTTTATGCTTTAGCATACTTACATGAGTGTGACTGTTGCCATGATAGCATGTTTGCCATGAGGCTATGTGCTTAATTGCTAAACTGCATGAATGCCTGTGGATGAAGGCTTCATTGCTTGAATTGGAACAATTCATCGAATGTGAGTTTTAAGCCCACTTTGCGAAGTGGCAAAATCATATTTTAAGCCCATTTGAGGGTGACAAATCCGCGATTTAGCCCACTTGAGGATGGCACTTTCAAACCATTTTCGAAAAACAAACATGAGTTTTTTTGTTCTAATTCTTGCGATTTTAGTCTATACTTGTATGCTGTGCGCATCACATAGTAAGTTAGCTAATAAACCGGAATAAGAACACACGTGTTTATAAAATAGCATATCATGCTTAGTAGAGGCCGATCCTTTAATCGGGCGAGCGGGGGTGTTCATGTCATGACCTTCCCCTCTCGCACCCAAATTCCCGAGCCGAAGCAACTTTGGTGATGACGGACATGTGGCCTTTGGCACAAGTCAGGGTTTCCTAAATTTCTCAAAAATAAAATATTTAGGTGACGACTCTGTAATCTAGCAAAGTAGTCTAGTTTTGGCATTATTTGATTTAAAATTTGATTTTCCAAAATGATTTGCCGGATTGGACTTTTTGGTGTTTATCAGTCTCACATTGCACTTTGTGAGATTAGATTCAGAACTGTGACAGGAGTCCGAACTGTAGGAGACCAATTCGCGCCTCTCCGAAAGGGGGGCGCACGAAGAAAGTCGAGTCTACACTACCCTTGAATAGTATAGACTTTTTAGTTTTTTTAATAACTTTTTGACTTTTTTAGTTTATCCCAAACAAGGCCTAATCATGTCAAATCTTTCAAAATTAGCTCTTGACATTTCTGGAAAAAATTATTTATCTTGGATTCTTAATGTTGAAATCCACCTTGAGGCAATGAATCTTGGAGATACCATAAAATATGAAAATGAAGCATCTCTGCAGGATCACACAAATGCAATGATATTCATTCACCTTCATCTCCAAGAAGAATTAAAAAATGAGTATCCCATGGTAAAAGATCCACTAATTCTATGAAATAATTTGAAGGAGAGATAAGAGCACCAGAAGATCGTAAGAGTCCATTATGATTGATTGCACCTAAGGTTGCAAGATTATAAGTCAGTTAGTAAGTACAATTCTGCTTTATTTAAAATAATCTCTCGATTAAAATTATGTGGAGAAAAATTACTGAAGAAGATATGCTTGAAAAACATTATCCATATTTCATGTTGATAATGTACTCCTGCAGCAGCAATATGGAGAGCATCATTTTTCAAAGTACTTTGAACTGATTTTATGCCTTCTTGTGGCTGAACAAACTTATCAATTATTATTAAAAAATCATCTATCCCGTCCAACTGGCTCTGCCCCATTCCCTAAAGTGAATGAGGTTGCATTTCATGGTCATGGACGAGGGAAAGGTCATGGTTTTAGACGTGGTTGAGATAGAAATAATTATTGAATCCGTAGAGGATATGTTCAGAAAAATAACATGACATTTCACCAAAAGTGGAATAATTCTAAAACATAACAAGAAAATGAAAAGAGTTACAGAATAAATCTCCCAAGAATCATGAAAATGTTTGTTACTGATGTGACATGACATGGCATTGGGCGCGTACATGTTGTACGCCTAAACATTTAGTAGATCTCTATCAAGCCTTAATAAAAGAAAAAAGAAAAGGAATTGAGATGCATTTCACAGATCATTATGAACCTATTGATATTAATCATCTTGATGTTTTTGATTTCTTTGAAGATTTTGAAGGAAAAATTGATCATTTAATTGGTGATGTAAATGTTCACACTAATTAACTTGATTTTCTAGATATTATATTTTTGAGTTATGCTTTGTATTGTCCTGTTTTACGATTTTGAAATTTGTGTTTTTCTGTTTTGAAGTGTTCATTTTCGTGTTTTAATTAGGCCTTTAGAGTTTGTATTTTTGAGTTTGACAGTTTGTATCTTTTCTATTTTGAGCATAATGAATTTCAATTTTTTATAGGCATGGTTATCATTGATGGATTGACTAACTCCAAAATAATTGGTGATGATATTTGTCTAGTGCAATCACACACGCAATCTTACGTGATGCAAAATATTTTATATAATTAGTCATGGAAAAAGCTAATGTCAATACAATTTCAGATTCTACAAACCTAATTAAGGGCTCCAGAAGAGCCAATATCATGTTGTCAAATGGAACAAAAATTTGTATTGGTGAAGCTTTGTATTCTACCAGATTCAGAAGAAATCTGTTAAGTTTTAAAGATATACGTAAAGGTCAGAAAGAGTATTTATTGATCACTTCAACTAATTCTAGTCAGAAGCTAGTATTAGAAAAACTTCCTACATTTTCATCTAGATTATATTATACGGCAATAAAAATAATTGAGTCACATATTGTCATGCACCAGAAGTGCTCTGACCTAAAAACGTTTATGCTATGGCATAACTGACTCGGGCATCCGGGATTTATAATGATGCGTCGAATAATTAAAAATTCACATGGACATCTATTAAAAAACCAGAAGATTGTTTGACCAAGTGTTTATCCATATTCTTCCTATTCACAAGGGAAATTAATTTTCAGGCCATCACCCACAAAAGTAATTGTTGAATCTCCATCATTTTTGCAAAAAATTCAAGGACCCATATACCCTTCTTGTGGACCATTTCGTTATTTTATGGTTTCAATCAAATGGTTACATGTTTGTTCACTTTCTACACATAATATTGCATTTGCTAGATTCCTTGCGCAAATAATTATATTGCGAGCACATTTTCCAGACCATCCTATCAAGACAATTCGTCTTGATAGTGCTAGTGAATTTACATCCCGAGCATTTGATAACTATTGCATGTCCATTGGCATTGATATTGAACACCCTGTTGTAAACACTCATACCCAAAATGATTTAGCTATATCTTTCATTAAGAAACTTCAGTTGATTGCTCGACCTTTGGTTATGAAAAGCATATTACCTGTTTAAACATGGGCTTATGCTATATTGGAAGTAACATCTTTGATTCGTGTCAGACCAACTGCATAGCATGAGTACTCGCCATTATAACTTGTATTTGGTCAACCACTAAATTTTAGTCACATTATAGTGTTTGGTTGCGCGATTTATGTCCCTGTTGCACCTCTACAGCACACTATGATGGGTCCACAACATAGGCTTGGAGTTTATATTGGTTTTGATTCTTCATCAATCATTAGATATCTAGAACCTTTGACTGGTGATATATTTAAGGCATGATTTGAGATTTGTCATTTTAATGAAACAATTTTCCTATCATTATGCGGAGACAAGTCGCAGCCTGAAGCTCGACAGGAAATCACTTGGAATACTTCGACGTTATCTCATCTTGATTCTCGTACTAATCAATGTGAACTAGAAGTTCAAAGGACCATTTATTTACAAAGTATTGCAAATCAGTTACCGAATGCATTCACCGACACATATATTGGACAAATTCCTGAAGATCTTGGCCTTCAAGACCATCAAATAGAGAGAGAAAGAGATGAGGAGACAGAGATACCAATAGATATAGAAAGAAATAGATGATGAGAAAGAGAGAGAGAGAGAGAGAGAGAGAGATACCAACAAATAGAGAGAGAAAAAGAGAAAAGTGGATTTGTTTGAACATTTTAAACAAATCATCTATTTTTTTTTTTAAAGCAAAATAGATCACCTCTCTATATATATTAGAATAGATTTGTTAAAAATGCTACAAATACTTCAATAGATAATTTTTTTAATAGATAGATAATTTAACAGATAAATGTTAAAAACAAATAGGTAATTTAATAGATAGATTATTTGGATAGATATTTGAACAAATAAGGGGGGGAAAATTCGAACAGATAGTCAAAAAAATTCGAATATATAGATATAAATTTGAACATATAAAAAAAAAAATTGAGCAAATAAATATAAATTTGAATATATAGTTAGCGAAAAGTCAATAGATAAAAAAAAATCAACATATAAATTAAGGAATAAAATTAAAAACAAAATGTTTTCCAAAATCAACGAAAGGACTCTTCTCTCACCATACTATTTCACAAAAGATAAACCTCTCATCAGTAAAAAAAAATATTCACTACACCTAATACCCTATAATTTTCTTACCTCGGACTTTTCAACAATTAATTTTTTTTTATTTTTTATATTTCAAAAATAAAATAAAGGACATTCCTGAGAACCACCAAATAATTTCTCAAATTTGATCACATGCACCCTTCTATACTGGCCTGGTCTTTTCTTTCACCTGCTCTTCCATCTCTCTCTCTCTCTCTTTCTCTCTCTCTCCTCTCTTAATAGCAGTAGCAGTAATTCTCTACCCAAGGTGTTAGGGACATGTGCTATCTACATCACCTATAAACATACTCACTGGCCTCCATTATGATCTGTCCAGAACAACAGGACGAGGAAGAAGAAGATACTTCTTAAATATCGCTCTCCTGTCTCTCTCTCTATCTATAGACTTTTCGGTGTTTGACGCAATCCATCTCTCAAAGAAATTGAGAGTGAGAGAGAGAGAGAGAGAGACATGGCAGAGGAAGAAGTGAATATTAGTAGTAGTGAAATAGTAAGTGCACCGATTCGCCGAGTTCTTCTCATCTCTGCTGGTGCTAGTCACTCTGTTGCTCTCCTCTGTAAGCTTCATTTCCCCTTTTTTTCTCTCTCCAGTTCTCCTTTTTCGATACATAATCATGCCCATCTATCTATATATGTCATGTTTTATTATCTGGTCTTGTTTTTTAGTGGGTGCAAATTATGTTCTAATTTTGGGTCTTGATCTTATACTTCGAATTTCTTCTTCTTTTATATTTTATTTTAATTTTTATTGAAGAAAAAAAAACCCAATTGGAAGTTATTCTTATACATTGCTTGGGTAAACTAGTTGTTTTGTTAAATTCTCTTTTCATGTGGGAATAGTTGGGGTGTTGTAAATTGACCGGTCTATGCAAAATTGGTTTGATGAATAAGAAAAACAAAGAAGGAAAATATTGTTTCTTGTCATTGTTGAAACCCATTCTTCTGAGTGTTGATCAAAACAATTGTTACATGAAACCATTTCTAGTTTCCATTCTAAAGAAAAGCCCAAACATATGGGTCATTGAAGGCTTTTCTCTCCATACTGTCCCTTATGCCGAATCATATACGAACGCAGACAGCATGCCAAAGTAGTTGAGCACCGACCCTTCATGGCATAGTCAAATGTCACAAAGAAAGAACAATGTAATGACCTCTAAGACTCACATGATGAGGAATTACGGATCCATTCACTAACCTCTCGTTGCTAAGCACATGTAGTATGAAAACCTCCCTCTGTTCCAACTCTGTCCCAAATTGTTTGTCCATTTTCGGCATCGTGCCCTTTAGTGGGTTCAATAAATAATGTATTTTTGAGAATTTTTCCTGATAAATTAAAAGATCTCAATTTGTTCTTATAGATGAAGTCTTCAAAATTCTTGAAAACAGAATAAATTTAAAAATATAAACGATTTTTTGGGATGTCTGGGATAGTGAAAATGGGCCTACAATTTGGGACATAGGGAGTATATGTCATGGTGGAATACTCTTCCAAAGAGCCGTGTCAATCTCCATATTTTTTAAGCAACAATGATTTTATTAGAAGAAAAGAGTAAAAGAGATACAGAGAGGTTAAGGAAACAAAAGCTGCATTTCATATACAACCCTCTGACCTAGAAATCAAAAACAAAAGAATTCCCTTAAATGGAGAAGATACAAAGCCCCAAAAGAGGATAAATGACAAATCTTATCCCACAACCCTTTAATCTCTTCCACATTGTCTTCAAAAACTCTAGCATTCTTTTCCAATCAAATTACACAAATAGCACAATTCCAAAGTACTCTTGCCTTCTCATTGGATCCGAATCCTTTAAAATCAAACATTTGGACACTAGACATCAGGGCCACCTAATCTACTTTTACCAAACGAAACAATTTGTACCATATAGCCATATCGACAAGGCAATGCAAAAATAAATTGTCAATAGGTTCTCATTTCCCTTTACATGATACACCATTGTGGGAGCAAAAACAATTAGCACAATTAAGGAAGCAAAAAGCAATTGGGTCATCTCTTCTAAAACATGCCATTGGTGTCCATACAAAATTTTTAACTTGAGGCACAATACCATTCCAAATCATCTTATAAGGACCAAAAGAAGGCACATTTGGGACACCAATTATCTTAACAAAGAAGGATTTGCAAGAAAATAAGCCCAATGAATAAAGAGTCCACCTCCTATGAAAAGGTTCCTCATTTAATTGTGACCAGATTGACCTTTACTTGATAGAACTATGGGTTACAGCTTCTATAAAAAGAATAATTTCATTACCAATCTGTTGGGATGATAAATGCATTTCTTTAGAAGAGTAAAAGCTAAATGCCGTAAAGAATAAAATATTTTATTGTTTATCTTAAAGCTTTTCAGCTTGGTTTATCCTTTTGTTATTCTGTCTTCATCCATGATTGATTTCCATGTATGTAACTTCCTGCTATATAAATTTCATTTGTAAAATTTGCATTAAGGAGACAAACTGACTTTGTAGATCTTTTACAGCTGGAAATTTTGTTTGCTCTTGGGGGCGGGGAGAGGATGGTCAGCTAGGTCATGGTGATGCTGAAGATCGACTTTTTCCAACTCAACTAAGTGCATTAGATGGCCATGAGATAGTATCCGTTACTTGTGGAGCTGATCATACAATTGCATTTTCTGAATCAAGTATGCAAGTGTACAGTTGGGGATGGTAGGTTTTTTTAATTTGTCTATCAGAATACAGAAACAAAACTTTTGAATCTGTGTGGAGATTGAACCATAAAGGCCTACTTTGCCTCTGTAATGCTTAGGTAAAATTTGAGAACTTTGCTTTTTTGGGAACAAATTTGAACCTTAAAAAGCCAACTTTCCACTGTTTGGTTTGTCGGCATTTGATCTCAACTTAAGTCCATTTGGGAAGGATTCATATACAGAGACGAGTACAATCATATTTACAATTGAGAAAGTGTTTGTCGAATGGGATTGCCAGAACTAAGTTCAAATCTAAGTCCAAACATTTACATTTAGCCATTTCACCATCATTATAATTGATTTTTTTCTTTAGGTCTTCATATGTCTATAGGTTGATTATTTTGTTTTCTTAACTTTCAAAATGAAACAAAGATCTCTAAACCCATCTTTATCTTTTTCCTTTCCCTTTCCAGATCCTTATCCAAATCTATGATCGAAACATAGCCTAAGAGTTGTTTCTTGAATCTATAAAGTGTTGCAACATCAAATTTGTGTTTTCTTTTGATAATGGTGTTAGATTTGTCATGTGAGGTGCTCATGGACACGAGATGAATACCTTGATTATGTAAATATAGCTACGCATCTTGGTCATTTGTAGTGTTTCATGTATTGCTGCTTTGCAAACCATTGGGCATAACTATTCGTGCATAATTAATTCACTCACTTGCATGGAATGATATGGTGCGTTCTTGTTTCTGTCTTATGATTATCTCAATGTTTGTTTTATGTGGTTCGTATTTGATATATAAGTAGTTTTTCTTCTGCCAATTTTGTAGGGGTGATTTTGGGAGGCTGGGTCATGGTAACTCTAGTGACTTGTTTACCCCTCAGCCAATCAAAGCATTGCAGGGTTTACGGATAAAGCAAATTGCATGTGGGGACAGCCACTGTTTAGCAGTGACCATGGAAGGCGAGGTGCAGAGGTTGGTTGTCATTGCAACTCTTTCTTTTCTATTTCTTTTTTGAAAAATCACAAGGAGTGGTTAAACTAGCTTTGGGGGTTGCTTGTGAATTGACCCACCGATTAAAATTCTTGTGAGGTGCTAAACAGATAAGGAAAGCAATTATAAAAACATGCACATCGACATTTTGAATTGTTATGTGGAAACCCTCTTAAGGGGAAAAACCACGGGCACCTTTGCCGAAGAAGATAATCTACAATTCAAAGAGATTAATACAAGATCCAACTAGCGACTTACAAGTTACAACCAATAATACCTCAGATGCATTTTTACCTTGACCTTGACCTCAAGAGACATATCTCCCAGATTTCAATTATTCTGGTGATTTATTTATTTTTGTGAAGGTTAAGCTTTCTTTCGAAACAGGTTATGTTCACTAGTTTAATATTGGTTTTTTTGTGGTTTTTTATTGAAGTTGGGGGCGGAATCAAAATGGTCAACTTGGTCTTGGCACTACTGAGGATTCTCCCCTGCCACAAAAAATTGACGCTTTCCAGGTATTGCTGTTAATTCTTATTCAGAAATAGTTGTCTCATTAGTCATTTAATTGTACTTAATTTCAATACGTGAGAACCCTGTTTATAAACCATATCAACCTTGTTTAATTTCTTAGTCTTGCGAGACATGCTAACATCCAAAAGTTTCATGTGTTCCTATTAATATTGCATAATGTACCTTGATAGAGATAATGGAGGTGACAAGACTTGAACCCAACATCTTCTGTAACCATATCTCTAAAGATCACCAATTATCTCAAAAGCTTGAGTTTTTAAAGAGAGGGCTAACTTTATTATGTGGGTGTTTGGGAAGTGGGTTTTTATGTAGGTTTTTTTAGTTGTAGGATATTATTGGAGAAATTTTTTTTGGTGTTTGGGAAGATAGTTGGGTTTTTTTGTGGTTGGATGTGATGTTTGTGAGAGAAAAAGTGAAATGATTATGGGGTTGGATGTGATATTTTGTTTGGATTTGTTTTTTTTTTGGTTTTGCAAAAACTTTGTCTTTTAGTGGAAAAAATAAAAAAAAACCCACAAAAATTTTTCTCCAAACACCACCTATATATATTCTCAACAATACTTTCACTAGTTCTAAAGAATAGTGGAGACTCCATAACATACACAAAGGAATTTCAACTACCTTAGACAATTTCCGTGGGAGCAGAAGAGGCTTCTTCCTTTTCATGGTCCATGTGCCCTCTCTTATTAGGTCGTTGTTACAATATCATGCTTGTTGAGCTTGTTATTAAATTGGTTATAGAATTTAAAGCTAATGTTAAAAAATACAAAATAATAATAATAATAAAGAAAAAGAAGAAGATAAATAGAAACCCGTTCATTTCTTTATTTAGAAAAAGAATATTCTTCCTAATATCGCATTATTACCAAATTTCATGGTTATTAATCAGTAAAAGAATAGTGTACTTCAAGCATGTTTTTCATTGAGATTGTCATGGAAACACTTTTCTGAAATCTTGCATGGCACTTCACTTATCTTTGCTTCACTTTTTGCAGGGGATCTCTGTCAAACTGGTTGCTGCGGGTGCTGAACATACAGCTGCTGTTACAGAAGATGGTCAACTTTATGGTTGGGGCTGGGGCAGATATGGAAACTTGGGTTTAGGTGACAGAAATGATCGCTTAGTTCCTCAGAAAGTTTCGAGTGTTGAGGTATGTCACTCATCTGCGATTATTTTTCTAGTATTCACAATTGACCTACAAGATATCTAGACGCTTTCAATATAAAATTTTTGCTTTCAGTTCTTACTAATTGGGAAATGTAAGTTAGCCATTAGTTGGGATGTTATAACATGAACATGGGGTACGAGTGTTAGGTGTCGGTATGTGTCCAAGTGTCAAATTCATCTAATCCCTATGGCAAGGACACAGGAATATGACAAATATTTGTATTTCTTAATTTTTTATTTTTTTTTATTTTGTAGGATACGATGGTGTTTACAAGGTTACAAAAAACATTTTATGCATATTCAGGTAGTTTTATTGCTAGTTATGTAGAAAACTTGGATCAATAGACATGCGTGCTGGCTGAACATCCAACTACACGTTGGACACATTCTGATCTCCTACCCAAGTGTCAAGTGTCTGACAAGGGTACTTCACACATTTAGAAGAGACTACGTAAAATGTCTCTTGATGAAAATGTCAATTGATTTTGAAAATGTCTCTTGACTACTCAAGTGTCAATTGATTTTGAAAATGTCTCTTGACAAGGGTACTTCACACATTTAGAAAATTTTATGAAGTTAACAACAGTCAGGGAAATATATTCATCCTCTTTCTATTTAACAAAAAAAAAAATATTCATCTTCCATCTGAACTTGAGCTTTTCTTTTTTCACTACAAGCTGCAGAGATAAACACCTGTGGGAACCTACTTTGTCCAAATGAGTTAGCTAACAAGTCATTGGCTAGAATCAGATCCATATTTTTATTAATAACTGTGAGTTGGGTCGGAATTGAGTTACTACCCATCAATTATACAAATGGAACTGTTGAAGATTTTGGTAGATATTATCCACTCGAATTTGTTGCAGCATGTCTGTCGAGGAATTTTGTTGTTTGTCTGGCTTTTGAAACAAAAAATGGAACAAGTGTGGGAACTGTTGTTTAGTTAGCTCTTGTTAGCCAGGTGAGCAAAGACATGGCCTAGTTGTGTATTTTATACCCTATTGTGGGCAACAGATAATTTTAGAAAAAGTCTTGGGCTGCAGGCTCCAGTGCAACCTTGAATTGTTGTAAGTAGTTGATTGTATTGAAAACCTGGTGAAACATGGCAGTTCTGGATAAATTGATTGCCAACTTCGTTTGGTAGCTCTTATAAGATGGCTTAGAGCATCTCCAATCCTTAACCAAAACTTTTATCAAATTTAAATTTGATGAAAATTTTGGTGAAAATGACCTTTTAGACCATCTCCAACGCTGCATCTAATATTTCATCAAATTTAAATTTGGAAAAAATGGCAACTGTTTAATCTCCGACCCTTTCATCAAACTCATATCAAATGAGGGACGAACTAAAACTTTTATCAAATGAAGAGAGCCTTTCATCTTTCATCAAATTTAAATTGTTAACATTGGGTTGAACATCCTCCCGGATATCCTCTCAGATGTCCACCCAAGATCAACTTTGACAACCTTTTTTGTTCATGTCTGGATGACCTCTAGGACATCCGCCCGGATGTCTTCCAAGACAATCGGGGATGTGAAAAAATCTGATGAAAATTATAATTTTAGTATTGGTGTGAATGGTATCAAACCAAACTTCTCATCAAATTTTTACTCAAATTTGATGAAATTTTTTATTCAACGTTGGAGATGCTCTAATCATCAATTCATCAAACTTGTATCAAATTAAGTTTTCACCAATTTTTCATTAAATCTAGGCAAAAACAAGTTTTTCACTAAATTTGATGAAAGAAGCTTTTGGGGATAGGCTTGTAATTTTTAAAAAGGATTTGATTAAATTTTTTAGTGAGGATCAGAGCATTCAATTTTTTCACCAAATCAAACTTTTGGTTAAATTTGATGAAAAGCTATTGGAGCATCCCATCAAGCTTTTAACCAATTTTTACTCAAACTTGATGCTCTTATAAATCCATTTTTCTAAAAAAAAAGCACTAGGTCGTTTGACATGTCCATTTCCCACCAAAAAGCCAACTTTAGCCACTTAAAAATGCCATTAGTTAGGCCAAAAATGCTAGAAAGCTAGCATTTTTGGAACTGTATGATTAAGGAAAATAAAACCCTTGTATTTTCCTCTATTAACTTTGTAGAACAGTCTTGTGTTTCCATAATAGGCAATTTTAGCAGAAGCTGTTTCCAATTACTTTGTTAATGCTTTATAATTTGCTCTGTGTTAATCTCTGTCTCTCTCAAACTTGTTTACTTCAAATATCAAGTTGTAATATTTCCAAGTTCCAGGCAGAGAAGATGGTTCTGGTTGCCTGTGGATGGAGGCATACAATATCTGTCTCATCTTCTGGTGGTTTATACACTTATGGGTGGAGTAAGTATGGTCAATTAGGACATGGAGATTTTGAAGACCACCTCATACCTCATAGGCTGGAAGCCCTGCGTGAAAATTTTATTTCACAGGTAACCTTTTCGGTTTTCATGGAGTTGATTATGATTTCCTAATTTGGTATCAGTTCCTTTATGTTCTTTTCTTTAGACAGGAAAATCTAGTGAAAAGAATAAGAATATGGAATTTGTTGTATTCTTTATCTGCTTGAATTTGTTGTTTAGAGATCTCAATACTCTGTTCTCTTTCTCTGCCTTCTTGGTGACCAGGTACTGTTTAATGAGTCAATAGAGTTCAGTTGATGTATTCCAACTTGTGAAGAGTTTAGTTGCTGTGTGGTTGACAGAGATTTTGAAATTTTTAATGGAATTTACTTAATAAAAGAGCATCAGTAGCTAAAAATATTAGCGTAGCTATACACTTTCATGTGTTCACCAACAATAATGTTATATATATTATCAATACAACAATACCCCTCGTACTAATAACCATAATTCCCAACAAATTTATATTGCCTGTCCAGTTATATATGTGTATGTGTGCGAGTAAGTGTAGATACGTACATTTGTTCACTTGTCTGCAACTATGACTGATGTTTTTATTGTCCTGTGTTTTTAAACTTTTCTTGGCTTAAAAATTTTTCAGATATCAGGTGGTTGGAGACACACCATGGCACTGACATCTGATGGAAAACTTTACGGTTGGGGTTGGAATAAGGTTGATGACTTAATTCTCCTTTATTTTTTTTAATTGAATGCTACTGCATCTCTATATCATGAAAAAGTTTGCTAGTTTGATAACAAACAGAAGAAGGTATTGCTATCTCCATCAACCAATTCGAACTTTCTTTTTCTTGTACAGTTTGGACAGGTTGGTGTTGGTGACAATGTTGATCATTGCTCTCCTGCACAAGTTGGATTTCCGGATGAGCAGGCAATTCTTATTCCCCTAATCTCTGATGGAATATAGGAAATCTTTTCAATATACTCTTTTTAGACGGTGTGTACAATATGCACCCTCTTACGTATTTTTTTGATACATGTTACATATTTCTATGGCAAATGTTACTTAATCTTCTGGTAGAGTTGCGATAATTTGTGGTTTAGAGATGGACAAAAATGCGTAATTTCATTTTTGAATCACAAATTGTTGTAACTCTATCAAAAGATTACATTGCATCTGCCACCAAAATGCATAACATGTACCAGAAAAATTAATAACGAGGTGCATATGATACACACCTATAAGGGGTGTGTACCAAAGGGGTTCCCATATTATATTACTTGGTCCATTGGCCTTAATGTTTAGTTAAAGGAGAATATTGCTGGTTTTGATTTCTTATATGGGGTCTTTTTTAATTATCACTATCTTTTGCTGGTTTGGTTTTTCACTTGCAGAAAGTAGTTCAGATCTCATGTGGGTGGAGGCATACACTTGCTTTTACTGAAAGACAAAATGTATTTTCTTGGGGAAGAGGTACAAATGGACAGCTTGGGCATGGGGAGTCAGTTGACCGGTAATAACTTTTGGACTGGCCCAATATTCTGACATTATGAGTTTCATATGATACTTTGTATTTGGCTTTGGGCATGGAATGCCTCTGAACTGGTACCCAAGGCTATTAAATAGTTTTTAAGTTGCGCATTTTATTTCCTTTTAATTGTTTTCTAGCATAAGGTTGTACATTGTAGAATGGTCTACTTGTTCATACTTATTTGAGTTTACTTGTTTTTTTTTTTTGTTTTGTGGGACTGAACACCTAAGAAGTGCAGACACTTCTAAGGTGTGTCCATGTTGGACATTCGTCCAAGCGTGTCCTATTATTTTTTTGAGAACCGGACATGTTTTGGACACTCGGGGAACACATAAGTCTGTCATTTAGACACATGAAACACAATATAAGTTTGAACAAAATAACTTAAAATACAATGATAAAAGAAAAACAATGTATATTTACGCCTATTAATCCCTGATCCTTTAAACTTTAGGAATTCATGTTATGTTGTAATTTTTAAATTTTTTAAATAAATATTTGTGTATTTGACATATGATAAATTTTAGAATTATATATTTTGCACGTTTTCCGCACGGTCTGTGTCCTGCATTTTTTCAATGTCGTGTTGTGTGTCTGTTTCTGTGCTTTGTAGTTGAACATCACATGCCTTCTCAATTATGGAATACACTTATGTAACTCATAAACTTCTGGAATTTTTTTTCCTCGAAAATTTGTAGAAACATTCCAAAGATGATAGAATCTCTGAGTGCGGATGGATCTAGTGGACAACAGATAGAATCTTCAAAACTTGACCCATCTACAGGTGCGTGACTTCCCTTTCTCTGTCTATATTTGTTTTTTAAGCAACTCAAGTTAAGAGTTTATTACACTATTTTGGACTACATTGAATTCCATTATTATTGTTATTATTATTATTTTTTTTCCGTGAGCAGGGAAAGCTTTGGTTTCTCCAATTGAGAGATATGCAGTTGTTCCTGATGACAACGTAAGTGTTCCTTCCACAGTCTTCATTGTCTTCATTACTGGTATGATGGAAGCGGTACTCATTAAAAGAAAAAAAAGGGGTGGTGGAAGAGGCAAGATTAAGTGTTCCTACGAGTAAATCAAATTCTAGGGCTTGAAGCTACAAACTAGTTATTCATATTTAAGTTTCAACAAGCACTGCATAGTGCAATACAAATTATATTTAAGCATACACGTATTTGAATATGATCGGAGGACATTTGAAATTTGTCAAATATCACAAAGTCTGTCACTAACACAGTTCTTTTCTGGCATATGAACTTCGTATGTTATGAATCCTAGTTCTTATCTTTGCTTTGTCATTTCTAGTGTCAAATAATTTACCTGTATAACATTGTAATAACTGTAAAAAAACATGCAGAAAACTATTAACTAAAGTGCAAATTTTAGTGCTAGGCATAAGAAAATAATTGTGTTACTTTGTGCAGGTCCAAGGGCAAACAGTAGCTACAGTTAAGGGTAATGGAAGTGAAGCAAGTGTTCCCCAGGGTGATGTGAAAAGGGTGCGCCTTTGAAATAGTTACCTTCCACAAAACTAACTGCACATTTGTTGTTGCTTCTGAACTTTCGGCATCACTAGTGTCTTTGAAAAGTGATGGCACGTGTTATGCCCTTCACCTCTGTTTTTTGTATGACCGTATTATTTTCTGAAGACGGTGTTTTTGTTCGTGTTTTATATTTCCAGTCTTTCTTTCCAGACTAGTCTTGCATTTTTGTTGAGGTGAAATTATGCTTGTCATAATCTAATGAATGCTTGAATGGTGCTTTGCTTTGTAATGGGTGTTCATGCTTATTTTACGTATCTCTTGTTTGGAAATGGTGAATTATTGTGATCCGTAATCATTTACCTAGTCTTTGCACTTGTTATAATGTCATCCGATAAACCTGCTTCAGCGGGAGTCTCGTGTTGAGTGACCATTTTTAGCATATCCGCCTGCCTAATTCCGTTCCATGTAAATTGGGAAACATGATTTTATTAAATTTGAGAGAAGTCAAGTTTGTGGAAGTTTCTCTCCTGCCTAGTGGTAAATTATCATGTATGGGATGAAACTCGAAAGTTTTCTTACATAAAGCGTGGTGAAAAATAGTAAAAAAATCAATAAATCTATATGAATTATTTTTTAATAATTATCTCAATTTTTGACCTATATAATTAGATTTTTAGCATATAATTTATTAGACTGTCGGTATAAGACATAAATTAAAAAAAATGTTCTATGATTTTGTAATTGAAAAAACAACAAATGGCATTTATATTAATTGAATTAATAGGGTTGTGCCATATATATTGTAGGAATATTTAAGATGAGTTTTTTCAAAAAAAAAAAAAAAAAGACTTAAAAGAGGACCATTTTACCTACATTGTAAAAATACACATAAACCGTATGGGAAAAAGAAAGTGAATAAAATTGAAACTAAATTTTCATCCTTTTTTGTTTTTTCCTCTTTTCTTTTATAAGTTTCGTTTCAAATTTAAGATTCAAATACAACTAGAACGTGTGGAAATTGAAACTAGAAAGTAAATGTTTTTGATTTATATATAAGTAAAAATAAAATATCTAACTTCCAAATAATTATAAGTCTTTTACCGACTTCACTGTAAATAAAAGTTAAATTTCTTCTTTAATTGTTATAATCTCTCTCTTATTGCAATTCAACTAATTTGACCCAAAATTTAACAAATACAAGTAGAGAAATGACATCAAAAGGAAATGACAACGGCCAGATACATCGAAAATAAAAATAAAAAATGAGACCCGATGGATATGTTGGCGGACGTGATGTATCAATTTTTTTGGTTTTATACATTTTTTCCACCAGAGTTATTGAAGATTGATGAATTTGATAATATTAACTATTTGATATAAAACAAATATATGGCATATAATATAATAAAGGGCACTCAGGTTAGAGGTCCATTTGTGAAACTATGGAGCCAATAGATTTAAGCTTCAATCTTTTTAGACCAAAATGGCATTATCTGTCAAAAGGATACCTATTTGTACAAAAACCTACCCATCTTATAACCTATTTGCCCAAATGTCACTTATTTGTCCAAATATCACCTATATGTATACGTGTCATCTATCTATTCACTTATTTGTCCAACTATCTGTCTAAATTATCACTTACCCGTACATGCACCACTTATCTATTTACTTATTTGTCCAATGTCACCTATCTGTCTATGTCACTGCCGCTAGCCGCCACTATCAGCCACCGACAACTTTTCAACTAATTTTTCGGTGTCAACAATCTGTTTCGGCTACTTTGAGATGGTGTCCTTATCACACAAAAATATTAAATGTTAAGCCAAATAACATATGACCCAATAAGTTTAAATTTTTCACTAAGGCCTAGTTTGGGAAGACTAATAAGTGCACTTTTTGACTTTTTATGAAATATGGGTTGGGTTTGGGTTGGATTTGAAGTGATATATTAGAGAGGTGATGTGACTCAAATAAGATGATGTGACTTAAATAGGATAGTGACTTTTTATCTTTTTTCAATCTTCCCAAACTAAGCCTAATTAACCTTTTAAAAATATATATTTTGCAAGAATTTCTTATCACATCGTGTTTTATATATTAGTGTCCACATCAATATCATGTTTGTTTTGTGCAACATCACGTGACAGTATCCACATATATAATTGTTACCTCATTTGTACGTATGGTTCAAATTTCACAACCAACCACATGATTAAATGAACATACATGCATGATCAATAGCTTTCTTTAAGATATTCTATCAAATAATTATTGGATATATTTGTTTTTGTCGGTCCATTGCATGGTTAGCTTGGTTTCATTTGATTTGATTCTTTTCTTTTGTTATATATTGGTCAAAATTTTCTTATTTTTTTATTGAAAAAAATAAGAATAAAAAGGAGCTCTTTTGCTGGTACTATGTTTGCTTTAGACGTATACCATCCAAAATGGAAGAAATATCATTTTACCCTTCAAATTTTCACTCGTTTTTTAATTTGATCTCTAAACTTCAATTAATATTAACTTTACACTCAAACTTTTGAAATTTTGATCAATTTGACCCCTGTCGTCACATTCTGTCTATAATTGGACGGAATGTGCTGACGTGGTACCAAAGTTCATTTGAAATTTCATTTTATCCCCCAAACTATATCTTAAAAATCAATTTGCCCCCCGCTCACGTCAGCACATTCTATCCAATTGTAGACAGAATGTAACAACAGAGGCCAAATTAATCAAAATTTGGAAAGTTTGAGTGTAAAATAGATATTAATTAAAGTTTGAGGGTCAAATTAAAAAATACATAAAAATTTAAAAAGCGAAATGATATTTTCTCTCCAAAATGTTAATGATTTTGAATGGTTGGTTAAAGTCATTCACTTGTCCATGTCTAACATATTACATTTGCTAGTTGTTTTATTTATTTTTATTTTTTCACGAAAGCAATTTTGGTGGTGCTTAAGAATGAATTATGGATCGGTTTGGTGTTGTTTGTTTATAATTTTTTATAAAAAAATATGTGTTGCAATTTTTAGTATTAACTTATGGTTACAATTTGAGGTAAAAATAACTTCAATAAACTAAATATATATCATTAGAAAGCTAAGAAAAAATATTTTGACTTCTATTTTCTAATCATTCAATTTTCAGCTAACAAAAATTTACACCAAAAATATTTCTTCTAAACAAACCATGTCAATTGTTCGAATGGTTGTAATAATCGACTTATTTAGTTGATAAATCAATTACTATTAATTACTTTTGGATATTTGTATTTCTCTTCTCTTATTGATATTGCTATATCAGTTTTGGGTATCTAATTAAAAATATGTGTAAATTATACTTTTCATCCCTGTAATATGATTCATTTTTCACTTTGGTTTATATTATTTCAAATTGAACAATTTGGTTTGTACCCTTATAATCCGATTTTAATTTGGTCATTTTATACAATTTTTTGTTAATTTTTCTATGTACACATTAATAGACTAACAACTATTCTAAAATCGTTAATTAACTTCTAACTTGAATATAATGATCAAATTAAAATTATATTTAAAGTGTAACGACCAAATTGTTCAATTTGAAACAAAATGAAACTGGGGTTGAACTACAGGTTTAAAAGTGTAATTTATCTTAAAAATATTCAAGCTACGTTAAATTAGTTAAAAAGGCATTAAAAAGTCAAAAAATCGTAAAAAAAAGTTAAATTTTTTTTCTCATTCTCTCTATCTTTTGCACGTTTTTTCATAAAAATTTATTTCCGAACACTTAAATTTTTTTTTTATCACATATTTTAATAAAAAGAAAAAAAAAAAAAGTGACAACCAAACTAACTCAAGAAAAAATTGCATATCAAGAAGAATTGACTACTTTAAACATGATGGCATCCCCTTTATAGTGCACACGTGCACAAACGCACGCATCACATGAGTAATCTTAAAGAGCTCAAAATTGTTCCACTCTTGACGGCATCTTCACTTGCTTGTTGGAAGACTTGTGGTTTTCAAGTGATCAAAGCACTTGTACTAGAAAAATTTCCCTAATTAGAGGTGTTTGGGAAGTTAGGTTTTTGGTTAAAAAAAAAAAGTTAGAAGTCAAAATAAAATAAATCAAAAAATCACTTAAAAAAGCAAGTTATGCACTTTAGTTAATTCATTTTTTTTTTCTAAATAAAAAATTTCTAATACATTTTTTTTTTTCACCTCATAAAAATATTAAAAAATTAAAAATTAAACCCCAAACCGCACGTGAAGATATGCAAAGTTTCGAGCACTCTCTACTTCTTAAGTCAATAAATTGAACCTTTCCTTGTAGAGAATGTATATTGTGTATCTTTGCCCATAAAAGAAAATGCAGTCTTTTGGATTTTTTTTTAAAGCACTAGTAAACAATAGCATTCCTGTTTGGAATGTATATACATGGCTTGACTTTATTTAGGCGGTGTTTGGCAACGGGTTAGGCAGGCTATTTTAGCCTCAAATGTAAAAAAATTCGTGTAGCCGCATTGTAACTGAGTTAGAGAGCTACAGTCCAGCTAGATGGCATTATCTGAATAAAAAGGCATTTTTACTCTATGCTACTCATATCCAAAAAGTCTACTAAAATAGTTAAAAACTTAAAAACTTAAAAACTTGAAAAATAACCACTTCCCAAACACCCACTTATTAGGATCAACAACACAGAGTAAAGCTTATATTGGGCATTGGGAACATTTTGAGAAAGCTTATTCCCATATATTGTCCATATTTCACTCTTATTTCATATTCTTAGGACATATAAGACTTAAGTGTTACACATACATTGATCGCGCTTGGTAGAGCTTAGAGAATTGTGGTGTGATTGACTTCACTGGTACAAATCTAAAGTACTAATAAGAGAGATTGAACATACAATTCTAAACAGTTGATTGAGTGGTAAAAACTTGAGAATAAAATTTAATGTCTTAAGTTTGAGTTACCTTAAGGAGCCGTTCGAATTAATCAAAGTGCGCAAACTGACCCAGACATTCTGTAAAAAAAAAATGAAGAGATTGAACAGACTCAAAAACAAATTAGACTATAAAACTGCTCTGAGTGTTAAATTCATTGTTGGCTCAAACATTGCTAAAGAAACCCATGATTTTATTTATTTAATTATTTATTTTTAATTCCTATGTATGAATGAAGCATATCTTTCGAAAGAGGCAGGTAAGGTATTCATGGGAAAAAAAGACAAGAATTGGCATCAACCATATCATCATTATATAATAAATTATAGAGATTTGATTCATTTTTGAGTCACATATGGTTATAAAATCATGAATATCAAGGCCTGTAAAGGTGACAAAATTGCTGTCCTTGTTTACAAATTAGTTAAGAATATATTAGCAGAGAGAGACTATATCAACAACTGCGTGGCAACCTTTATCTGATGATTCTTGTTGCCTTCTTTTAATTGCCTTTTCAGGTTACCGTGTAAATTTGTTTGTTTGTTCTGGCTTGAGTGTGACACTCCTATTTTGATTCATAAATGCTGTTGTTTCAGAATTTTGTTTTCAGATTTTTCTGAGTAAAGGTGTTTATGGGACTGTAGATTGAATTCATGCAAGTGTGGGTCCAAATATAAAATGAATGTAAGTCATAAGTTGATGCTTTTGAATAATAAGTATTATTGAATTTGATTAGCCGTTAGTCAAAGGAAAAAAAAAATTTACTTGATTTTCTTATTAGAGTGATTTACTGTCAAAATCGAGGATTTTAATTCTCTCAATTCTATGTATGTAGTAGAAATTTTTTATTACATATCTAATGTCTATGACAATGACTTACAAATGCAAAATCTGTAGATGCCATAATCGAAATCTCTAGACTGCCGAAATGAAAGACTCCAAAATCTCATCTACATTCCAAAAGGGTAAGAGTGTCAACTACATTCCAAAATAAGACTTAATTCATTCAAAAACTCTTACACCCGACTTGAGCTACCACACTTGCTGTCATTAGGACTTTTAGGTAATTAATTCTCTTTATTATTACAAAGTGATGGGTCTTAAATATATTAATTAACATAGACTCCATTATCTTGGTGTCTAGTGATAAGAAAATTAAGTAAGAAATCTCTTTATGTATAATTGCACTTAGAATCAATTTGGATAGATGTAGATTTCAAATAAAGAGATTTGAAGTTAGATTTTATAAAACTATTGAATAGTTATGGGTGGATTAGAAAAACTAGAAAAGATACATTTTAGTAATCATATATTTTTTTTGTAGTTAAAAGAAAAGGAAAATCAATAACATGATTTCATCTAAACTATTGTTGCATATGTATTTCAAATGCATTGTAGTAGAACTCTTTTATGTAATCTTGATATACTTAGGTAAACTATCATATCTAAATTTGAGTTATTCTTATTGCTTTCTCCTTGAATGATTAATGCCAAATCCATGCATTTTAAATCCATAAATACAAACGAAGCCTTAAACTCTGTTTGAATCAAAGATTTGAGGGAAATTTGTAAAAGGGAAGGGAAAATTGAACAAAATTTGGTTTCTATTTCATTCACTTTCCCCTTTGTTTTTTCTTTTTCCTCAATAAATTTCTTCACAAATTCTTGATCAAACACACCCTTGCTCAAATTTGAGGACTAAATTCACACAATTGAAAGCTTGTGAACTAAAACAACACAGACCACATGATGTACCAACTAACCCAATAATTTAATTACTTGACAAAGGTTTTGCCTCTCCTTGAAATACTAATTTCAAAACAAGAAACTGTTAAGGAAACCATAGTGAAATTACAAATGAACATCACCAACACCACCACGTAGCTATGAACATTCAACTTGAGCTAGTCCCTTAATTCCTCTACCATTGATTAGAAAAACAAAAAAAAAACAATGGTGATTTAGAAACTAGTTTGGAATGGCTTATAAACTTTGAGATCAAGCACAACACCAGCAATAGAACCGACAGCAGCCATGACTGAGATTATAAGACAAGCAATGCTAAGCATTTGGAGGCATACCCATTTGGTACTCCACCGCGGCAACTTCTTCTGTGCGATATACATTTCCACCGGAAAATACACTGTTAAAGGCCAAAAACCAATCGCCCCCAGAAGTCCCACAATGTCGTTGAAAAAAGGCAAAACCATTGACAAAACAGTACTAATTATCACGAAAATCGTCCTCCATACCAATCGAAAGAGGTTTAAGTTATAGTGGCCAAGACCCGGGATAGGAATTTTGATTTCCTTGCTGATGAATTTGCTTTGAGGCCATTTATGGGCTGCCCATTTTTCTACAAATGCGAAAAGTGGTTGGCAGTAGACTTGGTAGGCCCCGACAAGGTGGATGACTATGGCGGCATTGGCAATGTCAAGGAGCCAATAAGGGTTGAAGAAGCCGAAACCGGTGAGGAGATTACCGGGTGCAACGTCCCCGAATGCTGCATAGCCCATGCAGCCACAGAGCATATAGAAGGCTGTTGTCACAGCAATGCTTAGCAATGCCGCCTTTTTCATCGTCTTTGATTCTGATGGTGGTGATTTAATTGTGTCCTATTATACATACATATCAAATCAATTAGTTTTGTTTTTGTTTTTTTTTTTTTAAATTTTTAAGTACAATTAAGTGAGAAATTAACGTAGTTACCTGAATTTCGATGAGGATCATTGAATATGAGTAGGCAAAAGCTATGTTTCCGAGAGCTTGGAAGCTTCCCCATATCTTTTGGGCTTGAGTTACACTTCCAATGCTTATACCAGTAACACTACCCTTAATTGTTCCATTTTCTGATCGAAAATCCAAGAAAATGAATGAATTGGTTTACTATATGCATAAACATGAAATTTGAAGTGTTTTTATTTATATAAATATTACCAGCAACTTTGACAATTCCAAGGCCGAGGCCTATTGAAGAATAGGTAAAAGACATGACAGCGGCCACAATTGAGAGCCACCATATCTGATCAAAATCTGGAATCTGAGAAAATATAATTTCTGTGGTGCCAAACAAGATCATGTATGGGTTGCTTGATATTTGACACGGGTTCTTCCCGCCACTGGCGTGGAAGCAATTTGATCGTTTGATCGCCCTGTTAATAGATAAAATTATCCAAGATTGCTAAACAATGACCAAAAAAAAAATTTACAGCAAAACAATTTGATTGTTGATTTTTACTTACATCATGCTTATAGATGCTGCAATAGTGTACCCAACTGCAGTTCCAAACAGATTCAAATACTGAATTAGGCCACACATTTTGACCTGAAACCCACCTGAAAAACATCAAATTGTTCATCATTAGCACATTAAAAACAGATCTCGTAAATGTATATATCAAGAATTTGAAGAATTTATACCGAGATTGGATTGTACGACTTCCATGTAAGTATAGTTTCTGCGTCCAGTTATAGGGTCGCCGGACCGGTGACAGTCAGCGAGGAGAACCGCGGTGTAGTAACTTACAAATGAGAACAATAACATAACGGTCGGACCAGCTATCCATCCCAGCTGAGCTATGGCCCAGGCTAGGGTGAACAGGGAAAGAACCCCAGATCCAATCACGGCCGTTATAATGTGAGCGCTGGCGGTCCAAACAGTCCCTAATTAATTAACAAAAAGAAGATCAGAACATGAATTTTTTTACAAAGTGGTTTTGAAAAACAGAGGATGCTCTGTTTTTGGAAACAGGGGAGGACTTTACCGGTTCGTTTGGGGCGGCCGTCGTCGTCGAAGCATTTGGAGGAGTTGCTGAGTGGAAGGATATCAAAGGAGATGTCAAGGGATTGGTGGTTCTTTGTGGCAGCATTCTCTGTCTCACTCATCTTGTATTGAAAAGAGACAGACAATAAAAGGAAGACTTTTTGTGAGACACAAAAATGAAAAATTATGGTTTATCAATTATCAAATTAACAAGAAAAAAAATGAATTTTCAGGTGTTTAGGCAGTTTGTGTATGTTTTGGTTGCGTTTACACACATATTCAAAATGCGTGAACTCAACAAGAGAGAGAGAGAGAGAGAGAGAGAGAGAGAGAGTTCAATGTTGTGTGTTGGGGATGATTTTGGAGAGAGAGAAAGAGAGTGAGGAAAATAGGGAGTTGAGTAGGAGTAAAATGAAGGAAGAGGAGGGTAAGGAGGGTATAAATAATAAAAGCGGTTGTGAGGGAATGATGATACAAAGCTAAAAATAGAAAGAAGATTGATATGTCAATAGAGACCAACACAAATGAAACAACATTGTTTTAAGTCAATTGACCAATGCTCTCTCTTTCTCTGTCTCTCTCTCTCTCTCTCTCTGTAAACCAATATACTAAACCAAACATTACCCAACTTTTTTTTTTTTCTTAAAATTTTTATTAAAAAATATAAAGTCATTTTACATTTTTTTTATATTTTATTCACAAATTACATAAATACCTTTTTGTAATTTGAAATAAAAGGCTGTTAGATCATCTTCAAATCATTAAAATTGTCAAAACTATAATATAATAGCTTTACATCAAAAGTGATTCTCTAATGATTGAAGATGCCAGCTACTAAATTTGATAAATGTCATAACGCAAACTTTGACAAATACCAAATATGTTGATTCACCCAAAACCAACCCAACCAGTTTCTTGCTTCCCTCCCTCATCCTTACCAGCAAAACAGCCATTTTTCTTGAATTTTTTGTAAAATTAAATTCACCAATTTTTTTTTTTTAAAGCAAAAAATTTGATTTAAAAAATTAAAAATTAAAACAGAAATTGGGTGAAACAGCCAACCCTTTGAGTGAGGGTTTCAAAGAGGATCGAAAGAGAAAGCAGAGATCACTGGTGGATTATACGGCTTGAGAGAGAGAAGGAGGGAGTTGATCTTCGCCGGACTGATCTGCCTAACTTCATGATGATCTTGGTCGGACTAATCTGCAAAAGATAGTGACTCTTCGCCGGACTGATCTGCCTCGAAAGAGAGATCCACATGAAGAGATCCAAATGGAACAAATAAAAAAAAACAGAGGAAAGAGAGAGAGGAACAAAACTGTTGGAGAGGGAATATGTGGGAGACAGATAGATCATAGATGAAGTGATAAGGCAAAGATGAAGATAGACAGTGAGAAATTGAAGGGAGAAAAGAGAGCCGTTGAATGTTCATATTGTTGATCCAATGGTTATCAAAAGGTAAGAGTTTGGAAGATTAATGTAGGTTAGTGTTTGGGTGAATTACAAGAAGAATAGTCTATGAACCTCACTTTTACTATTTTGATGTGTAATTAAGGTTAAATTTGTGTAATATAGAAATTATTTGTAGAATAATATTTAATTACAATATGATAATTCTACAATAGTTAAGTTTGGATTTGTAATATTACTGTTAAAAGGATTTTTAATTACTTTTTAAATTTTAAATTTTTTACTTTTTTTATTTGATCGTAAATATATAATTTTTTTCCAAAAAAAGTTTTAATAAGATTACAAAAGATGTCAAAAATCAATATAAAAAAATCACTCAAAAAAATAAATCCAAACACCACCTAAGCAAATAGAAAAAGTTGGCTGGTATTGTGCCAAAATCATATGTCATCATTGAAGTACCGTTGTTATAATTTGACAATTTACTACTATAATGTGCCAAATTATAATTTTAATAATAATCATTAAAGATGCTCTTAACAGTCTAAGGCCTCGTTTGTTTGGAGTTATAGGGAGGGGATTGGGTTTGGTAGTAAAGAGGGGATTGAGAATGAGGTGTTTGTTTTGAGAGATAAGGAAGGGATTAGTAATCCCTTGGTATTAGTAAGGAGGAGGAAGGGGGATTAGTAAGGAGGAGGTAGAGATGGTATTAGAAAAATAGTAAGGGGATTAGAAATTTTTTTATTTTATTTATTTTTTATATATTGGGAATTTTTTTTTAAATATAATGTTTAATTTTTTATATTTTTTTATTTTTTTTATTATTTTATATAAAAATAATTTAACAATTCCTCACTATCAATCCGCCCTTACTATTAATCCACCTCACTATGATCTCCTCATGTAGTAAAAGTATACTCTTTTTTTTTTTTTTTTTTTTAGCAGCTAGTAAAAGTGTACTTGCTAACCATGTTTTTATTAAACAATCATGTTTTTATTGAAGTTTGATATGATAAAATAAATAAATAAATATTTAAATTTTGTGGTTACTAAACACTTTTTAAGAAAACATGTTAGTTCCTAACAGGAAAGATAATTTTGTTATTTGTTTTTGCCCTTAAATTTGGATGAAAATGCCCTTTTTTAATATTTGTAAATGTGTTAATTTTTTAAAAATCAACAACAACATAACTCACAACCACTCACATAACTGTAGATTCCATATTCCATAAATTTTCCTATTACGTGAGTGTCTATAATCTATTATGTGTTTGATTTTATATTCTTAGATATTT